CTCATTATTGTCAAACCTTCGATTATACATGTTTTCAACTAAAAAAGACATTTATCGGGAAAATATAATCATTTCCCACCCTAGAATTAAACACTTGCATGGCCTGTAATGTAAAAATAAATTCATCAGAAAATTTCCTTATTAGATATGGTTTCCTAAGAACAAACAATTTTATCGAAAAGAAATAGTAGCATTGACAGATTGGCAAAATAATTGAAGGTGTCCGACATTACCCATGACTACACTATGCCATCACTAACAGTATGTGTGAATCCAACCACAATGAAACGCTACATTGCATCTCGAAAGCTATGTAGTCATAGTATCAAACGTTGTATGTATGTTCGTTCCCTTTTGACCAATGCGCGTGAATGAAAATAACGCCTTGAACGTTTAAAAGACCTTAAAGGCATTGAGTCATGATAAATAGACTGGGTATACCCTAAGTGCCAAAATCCGCTGAGTCATGATTTCCATGACTGCTATGCTATTGGTTGACCTTGAACTGGTCACATGAACTCACCTCGTACTGATTAACATAACAGTTTCCATCAATAGCAAGTTGTCAACAACGGATGCCAATATCACATGAAACAGCAGCGATCACGCCGAAACCAAATGACCCCCTATAGAGAAAGCCTATTTACCATGACTCAATGCCTTTAAGATGAACGAATTAATTGTAAAGACCGAATGCTGGACATCCTGAACAAAAAGGGTGACAATGAGACAAGTAAGAAAAAAGTACAAGAGCGAGTTGAGTAACGAAAGATGGTGAAGAGGTCCACGGTCGCTCAAACATGAGCCTTTCGTTATGGAAGAAGAGAAGAAGATGAAATAGCTACGTTTTGCGGTTTTCGTATATCGTTGAATCACGTTATATGAAAACCAGCCATAAGTTCTTCAATTTTCAAATTCAATAAAAATACATTCCAGAAATGCATCAAGGTTATACGCTGGCATTTAGCTTCTGACGAACAGGTGTTCAGAATATTTTTCCGAACAATTCCATTTCCATGGAGACGGGTGAGTGGCATAATGATAAAGCCTGTTCATTCAATTTCGGATTGCAGCAAGACGGGGGTTATGCAAACAGAAATAAAATACAAATGGAAATTACCCAGTTAGGAAGACAAATTACCAAAACTAGACGGAAACATTACCAAAAAAAAAAGCAATAAAACGCACAGCACAAAGATTCTCGACCATAAACAAAGTAACTTTTTCTACAAAAACAGAACACAAAGGAAAAATAATAGCCTTGAAAGAACAACTTAGCTCCAAATGAGTGAGAAATTCAAGAAAGCAAATCATTAATGTGGAATTCCCTCAATTTCCAGTTGAAATTTTAATCTGCCGTTGAACGACCACGATTTTTCCTTACATAGGATGCATGGCGTTTCCAATGAAGATCCTTGAGAAAAAGACCTGTCCCCTTAGGAAAAAAGCCTTTCTTGTTCGGTCTTTCTACGAATTTTAAGATATAAGCAGATGGTTTAAGTACTTCATTTCATAAATTATCTTAAAAGTATTTCAATTATTGACGTGATAGCAATTACGGGCGGTTATTAAGTCATTTCCTTCAGTATTTTGAATCTGGACCTGCCCGTGCAGAGCTCTGAAAACTAACGGCATTTCCTTTTTCTTGTTGCATATAACATAAACGTCAAGTCAAAATAATTTAACAAAAGGAGTTTTTTGCTTAAAATATGGATATTGATAAGGGCCATATGAAGCTGATGTACAGATGACTGAGGCAAAATCCAGGATTTGGAAACACTTGTATAAATCGAATATTCAAGACAGTTATCAAGGGGAATTTCTCCAATGCAAATAGCGTACGGGGTTTGAAGAAACTAAAAGGAATTTTGTGGATTTTTAGAAAAAATAATTAGTTTTCCAACAAATTTGTACAAATTCCAACAAATTCTCACAATTTTTGGGACTTTTTTATCCAGGTAAAATTTTATTAAACCCAGTGCAAGGAAACCAAGCAAAGCCATTCTCGATGAGGTTTTAAACCTCCATGATAAATAAATAACAGCAGAGATTCGGTATCCACTAATCGTGGCTAGGCTGTGTTCTAATATCACCGTTTTCTGCCCTGCACTTGGAAATTTTTCAGCTTTTTCGTGTTCAACCGACTGAAATCTCAACAAAAAGACACCGGATCTCGAATTTCCGAGAAATATTTTCACCGCTTTCCGAAAAACAGTTTAACCATATTCATACAAAAATTGCCGCTGGTAAAAACCCCACCAAATATAATACTGCTATTTGTCTGGCAACGCAGATCTCGTGTTAAGTCTTTCACCAATTCCATTCTTTCTATTTCGTATTGGTCACAGTTGTTTACCAATACAATATTTCTTTGTAATGTTGACCCACATATGTAATCGCATCTTTGTTTACCACTTTAGGTACGGATCCGTTCGGATCCGATCCCGTGTAAACAGGCCCTAAGGGTACGAAGAGTCTTTGCGTTTACACGGGACCTGACGGACCCGATCCGGTTTGGATCTGCTATCCGTGCCCGTTTGGAATCGCTTTTGAAGATAGTTCCATTTGGATCCGATCCCAAAGAGGCCTCGTGTTAACGATTGGGATCCAAACAGGTACGGATCCAAAATAAGACGGAAGATGTCTATTTCGAGGTACTTCGTATATGTTGTGCACCAAATCGAACGAACCATTGTAGGCTATAATTTAAATATTTGGCAAACTTCGCTGTTAATAATCTTCCGGATAACTTCGCTGTTAATTATCGAGGTTTCTTTTGGTTGTAGGTCTTGCGTGTTTTTAGCTGATTGGATGTTAGTAATACTTGTAAAATGCTTGTATCTATAAATACGCTGTTGTTGTATGTCTGCTTTTTCAAAATGAATAAAAGGTTGATTAAGGACCAAGGAGCAAAGTTTTTGGTTGGACTGATGAGGAGACGGCTCTACTGCTGAAAGTTGTGCTAGAAAATAAAGTAAACAAAACCCAAGGAGCATCTTTTTGAGAAAAAGTAAAACAAGATATGAAGGCAGATACAATAGCCTTCGATCTCTGTAAAATAAAAAATAATTTCCTCCCTTCTGAGGTTGAATAATTGCCGCTAAAATTTCGTTTTTGGAAGGAGCACGCAAATTTTGGTCCCGTGTAAAAGCAAATATTTTCATATCCGATCCCCGTGTAAACACCCTCTCCAAAATGAGTTCGGATCCAAATGGATCCAGTACCTTTTGGATCCGACTCCGTGTATTTGACCGTTATCGATATTATTTCGTTACCATAAGAAACCGCTTTGGCAACTGTTAGAAAATATGAAGACTCTGCGGAGGACACGTTGTAAATGATGAATATTGTTTAGTTTATTTCCGCATTCATTGATAGGATTTTTATTGTTTGATTGCTTGAATGTAGCTTGTTTTCTTTTTTCGATTGGAACACGAACGCGTGTACTGAATTAAAATTGAATATGTTTAGAGATTATATGGATATCGGTTTGTAATCGTTCATAACGGATCCAGTGTTTCCTAATATGACTGATTGAGAGAACCTTGGAATCATAACCAGTTTGTTTTCCTCTTGTTTATCTTGAACAGAATTTATCGCACGGGTAAATTGCTCGGTTTAACTATTCCAGTGTACTATGCGTTTCTGCATGGTCATGCGTTTCTGCATGGGCCGAGACGCATATGCGTTTCAAGTGTTACAGTGTAATGGCGGACATGCAGGGCCTAGCTGTGAATAGCGTGAAGAGCATATGCGTTAGACAGGACACAAATGTGTTTCAACGGATGTGCGTTTCCTAACAACTTTCAATAAAGGTTTCTGAAATGATCCATCGCCACAAAACAAGAATATGTGATAATATCATGCGTTATACAAATAGAATTATGCAGATTTACACAAAGAGCTTCCTCCAAAATGATTCCCATAATTCAAAGCCAACGATATAAAATTAGTTGCTGATATACGACTATTCTTTTGGCTAAAGAACCAGATAAACTTGTTACACAGGTCAAGGAATCAAATTCTGGGCAATTTTTGAATAAATCACAGATGGTATAGAATTCCTACCATTCTGATAAAAAAGATTTACCCATCAGCAACCACAGGATTTAGAGAAACGTATACATGTAAGTTGGCAATTTGGGGAGATACATAGAGGTACAAGCAGATACAGATATACTCATTTTTTTGTAAGAAACTGGCTATAAGAAACGAGCACAGGACAGTCAGAAAAAATTGTGTAAAATCTAAGAACATGATTGCCCTGATGGCCTAGAAATCAAGATACAAGGGATAAAAATATACTTCCCATATCTAAATACAGCGTCAGAACGGAAGCGAATCTTTTGAGGTGAGAAAGAAGGTCACGAACATTTCATAACATCATTCATGACATCATAACTAAGAAACTCTTAAGAAACAGTGAGTATTGAAATTTCCAGAACATTAAGAAACTGGAGTACTCAACATCGACCTTTGTTACTTATTGGAAAAAATGAGTGTACAGAGAGATATGTGAAGATGCACTTTTAAGAATTTAGGCTTTGACAATTTAAGGATGCTTACTGCTCAGCTCAAGAGGCTTGAGAAAGCTTTTGTAGCTCGTCGATACTTCATCGTAATTAAGGTTGATTCAAGACAGGCAGTGCTTGGAAAAGACTGCGCTGGGCCTTGCTGTTGTACATTTGGGACAGACAGTACTTGAGAAAGACTGCGCTGGGCCTTGCTGTTGTACATTTGGGACAGACAGTACTTGAGAAAGACTGTGCTGTGCCTCGTAGATAAAGTTAGGTTCGCGGAGAACCGAGGATGTGTATTAGAGATTCAGCTGAAAAGTAAAGTTTAGCCTTGAAAGACTGCATGGAAGATAAAAAAAATATGATTAGCCGCTCGCCAAATGTCGTCATTTCTTGTAATTCTCTTCGCGGACACGGGCATTAAATCTCCCCACAATTTTCCATAATACACAAAGACCCGGCACCGGAAAGAATTCATGCAGATTATCCACATTTTTTAATTGTATGGAAAGCTAGAGTAAATAGATTTATTACAGCAGAATCTCGCAATTTTTACATACTTCTTGCCTTCTTCTATTTTGTTTTACAATAAGGCTTTAATGCCAAGGCTTATTCCTAGGGTTTGTAGCCATGCTTTCTTGGAAAATGGCTTTAGCTAAGGCTGCCTAAAATACGACAATGTACCTTTGACATATACTTAAAGTATTTGGGAGTACAAAATTTGAAAATTGTTACTAAAAAAGCAAACATTTTACACTTGACAGTCAGCTTTTAACCTTAGGTAAATCATGTCGAAAAATGCTTGCTTTTTTCAGAGCGATTAAAAAGTATTCTATAGATCACGAAAATACAGTAAATTACAGGCATTTTTCACATTACGTCATGATTATTTACAGCCGTCGACAATCAGCCCCTTGACATTAAAACCATTTTATACTTAAGGGAGCAACGAAAAACATTGTGTTTCGAACGAAGAATAAGGACACGACTGTAAGGGCTTCGCACTTTTCAAAAGCTAAGCTTTAGTACTTTCTTCTACGGTTATTGAATGTAGTTAAAAAAATCGACAGTTGAACCGTTGAAACAAGATTGTCTTATCTGTCTTTGGCTTTTGCCCTTCGTGATAATATATCAGGCCTGAACATTTCAAATGATCGAATAACATATTCTTAAAATAATGTGAGAGGAAAACATTCGTTATTAAAGATTTGAAATTTCAGCTTCTAGATATTATGGACTGCAAAGGTTTCTTTTCCAAGTCACAAGTTTTCTTGCCCCAAAATTCCTCGAGGTCGATCGTTTTCGGGGGTAACTTCAATTCCTGGGCAGCTTTACAAAATTCACACATGCAATGGTGATTCTTGAGTTTATAATTATATCTCCATTTGTGATATTCATTGTAGGCAGTGTCATTCTTATCCAGATAGTCAAGATAACTGGCCAGTTTCTGGAGACTTTCAAACTTTTGTACATCAACAAATGATCCAGGGACTGCAAGTTTTTCATTGTAATAATCCCCATATCCAATAACAACTGGAACCAAGCCAGCCTCCAGACCGTTCAGCCAATATTTCTCTGTAATGTAATCCTTGCAAAAACTGTTCTCAAAAGCAAGGAAGAATTTATATTGCTGCATGATTTCTGTGCACTGTTTGCTTTTTCTTGGGCAATTAGGAGTTTGCGGCCGGAAGTGTCTTGAACAACCACCATACACATCCAATTTTGCGTGCTCTCGTAACTTGGTTACAAACTTAATTCTGTCACTATCGCAATGCGAGTTCATCCATGTGATCAACTTGCCTTTACCTAAAAGAAGAACGATGTCGTGAAACCTGGAAAACTAATAGGCCGCACTACAACTGGCCTAGTACAAGCCAGACTAACATATTCTTCTGGATCGGGTGTGGATCACATAACAATTTTAAATTTAACCGCACAGGTCAGAATGGGGGGAGCGGCTACAGTAAGCGAAAGTAATTCATGAACAATCTCAACAAAAATTGCTACATCATGCTAACAAACAAGGTAATGTACTAAGCAACTATGAAATCGAGAAAAAGGTGAACAAGTACCGAGTTAAAGCACCGGGTTAAAGAAACGCGACGGATGCTTTGGATATGTTTTTGTTTTCCAGCCATTGGAATCGGTTCCAGCCAGTCATAGCCCCATGGAAATAATTTCTATATGGAAAGCAGGCTACTTTCGTGTTGAACATAAAAGGTTGCAAAGTACGTAGATAGTTGTTTATGCAAGAATTTATGAGACTTTGCACAGATTTGAATAATTGTATTCGATAGAGACTGTAAATACAGAACGAAGAAGATCCGATGTACCAAAAACTGTCCACCTTGGCCTAGGAACTTTGTTGATGCTCCCATCATAACAAAATTACCTACCTACACGATGAACAAAGATAAATTAACTATTATGTAAATTAAGTTAAAGGTTGGGCCACTTTTCAAAATCAGCTTTTTACTTAAAGGCAGTCTGTCCCCTTCGTGATTGGCTAATTCTAACTTGAAAGCCTCGCCTGAAAGGAAGGTCTTCCTTTGCCTTTTTAGTATCCGACACTAGTTATTGTGGGTGTACACGACAAAAATTGCCTAATCTTTATATCATCGAAACTGACTTAGACGTTTCCGAATCGAAATTCATAGCAGCTCCTCGCTCGAGGAAATTGCGTTATTGTGGCTCTTCATTCTGATTGTTTTTGTGAATTAAATCAACGATGCATGAATATCGTGGCCATGAAAACAATGGGGGACATACTGCCTTTAATGTACCTCGCTTAAATTTTTCATTTGAACATGAGAAATGAAAAAGCAAAGTTATCTTTATCTCTAAACAACGGAGATTGTTTCTACAAAATTGGTAAACAGTGAATAAGACTTAGCCCGCCTTTGCGTTATAAATCAATCATTTCATTTCTCATAAAAGCTTTCTCCAAATTGTCTCTGAAAAACACTAGGCTATGAGTAAGTCATCCCTTACCTGCTGCAAAATTTTGGCCGAGCTGTGGCCGTTCGTCTTCATTTTCGAGCGGAAAGTAGAAATGATATGTTACAGTAATGTCGGAATCATGTCTGTAAGTTGCAGTCCAGTTGAATAAGCCGCTGTAGGCTGTTGTATCCCCATAAGAAAATATAGGGCTTTCATGCATGTAGAAAAGCCAAATTTGATGAGGTGGGCGTCGTGTTCTTGAAATTTCTTTAAGATGATTCAGATTAGGGAGATCTCGCCCATAGAAAACTACCATATCGCTGCTTGGAAGCTCGTCTTTACTGTATGTTACATTGCAGTCGTGAACTGGACACATTTTTCCATCAAAGTTTTTGAAATTGTAATTGTATGGAATATACCACCATGGCGTAACACCAAACAGCGGAGTGTAAATCAATATCTTCTTTCTTGGGCGTATTGGATATGACGTTGCAGCAACAGTTTTATTATCGTAATCAGTGTTTGCAGCGAACTGAAGCGAAATCAGTTCGTACGGTTTAACGATGAACTTATACTTCCATGATAAAAGCGAATTAAAAAACAAAAACGACAAAGTTGATATTATGAAGAAAAACAAAACGCATTTAAACTTGAGTCTCATTGCTAGCTAATGATCGAAGTAACCCGAACTAACAATGTCTTTGCGCCCAGAAAAGGTGAACGACAACATGTTCAGCAGACCAGGTCGCAGCCGGGGGGACACTGCGGAATTAACCTAGGCAAAGAATTTGTATTTATTATGCAAAAACCTATAGAAGAACCTGTATAAAATGTATTGTTTTGTTGCAAAACAATCTGCACTTTTCGTCTCACACCTGGTTAGTTTCATATTCAACGAGAATCTTGTAAAAATGGCTTTGGCAAAAGAAAACAATTTTGAATCATTTTGACAAGCTGGAAAATTTCAAGCGTTTAAGTCTTAGTGCGTCACTTTGCGTACCTTTTTATGAAGGAGGTAATTTCAAAGCTATAATCAAAGGTGAAAGCAGCCTTGCCCCCTCCCTCCCTCACTTTCAAATTCGCGGCGTGGGCCCTGGGTAAATTGATTGTAAAAATGGCTGCAATGCCAGAATTGAAAAGAAACGGTTTTGAGCTATGCGGGCTTTGTCTTTTCTTCCCCCCCTAGGTCTGAGTTATGTTTTTGCGTCTGATACCGCAGCCGTTGTTCAAATTCGGCTTGAATCGATTACATGGACAAAAGCATTAAAATGAATCCCGCTTCGACGAGCTAACCTTATAGGGAGAAGACGGGATCCCATCAAACCGAGCTAGCCTGTTCTCAATGTAATCGAAAGTTTGCTGAACACAAAGGATGCTATAGAATAGAGTACCGAAGTGATGACGTCACAAAAAAACTTTTTTAAGAATTTTCCAATTTTGACTATCTATCCCAAAAGAGCATTATGAAATAACGCTAAGTATGCAAAATCAGTTGAATGTGTTAACAAATTGGCTAAGATATAGCCACATAAGCAGAGGCTCTTCCCCCATCAAACCTGGATAAACGTTGAGTGACGTTAAATAATTAGTATTAGGCTTCGAACGAAATTTATGGTCGGGAAGAACAAGGCCATCTTGTCTTAGATCCTAGCCACTTCTTGGCTTACTGAAAGCTTTAACAACATCGTCGTGACTGTTAATAACATCAATTCTATCCGTATTTAGTCGATTATATTTAATTTTTCCATCTTTGGTCAAAATTGACTCAATTCTAAGTTCATTCTTACGCGAAATCAGATCATTTAACACCTGGTGCATACCACTGGCGAGGTCTTCGGAAAGAGAAATACTTTTCGTTTTTTTTTCCTTCAGGACTCGTACTTTAGTTTTGTGCGTTAAACATTTAACTAAAATCCATTGGCTTACCATCAGACCTTCGTTTTCCAACACGATGAACAATGTCGATTTCCACTTTATCAACGCGTACCCCAATCTCATTCTCTAAGACACCAATCGTTTTTTCTTCCAGACTCTTGTGCTCTTCTTCAGTTAAACACTGAACTCTAAACGAAGATTTTCTGCTGTTTTGCTCCTGGCGTAATTGCTCAAATTGAATGTTTTTTATGCAATTAAACTGCCAGTCCATGGCATTTTTCAATCCATCAATATCGACAGAATTTTCCTCTTCTTTCTTTCGGATACCCAGGGACGTAAATTGGCAGATATTTTTTGGGGAGGGGGGGGGGGGCTGTAGGGCTCAAAATTTTTGACTGACAAAGGTCAGCTCTAATTTTGTATGAGGGTCTAAACTTTAATAGTTTTTTACCAACAAAACCTTAAAAATTGTCTCGTAAATAACTATTCAGCTCTATGATAAAGTTTCTAGATTTCGCAAATTTGGAAGATCGAGCATGAAGACTGTTAGTTTAATTAGTGCATCAAAACATTCCTAGTCCAAAAATCAGGTGTTAATTTTTCTCCTTCTACGACTTGCCCATTGCTCCACTATCTTATCTAAATTTACGTTGTCCAAAATGTCTTTCTCGCAAGTAAGAATCATGAGGTCATTTAGTTTTTCACAGGGGCGGTGCCAAGAAATTCGAAGTGAGGGGGGGGGCTCCAGTTGATAGAATTATTAGACTAAAGAACCATCTTTTGAAAAACGCTTCACGAATTTTTATGCCTATTATTTTATGGGGCACTCATTATGCTAGCGGTACGTTTGAAGGGGTCTTAGCGCCGAGGTTGGCGGAGGCCTTAGGGATATTGGAAAGAAGTGGCCAGAAAATTTTTCACGACCACGCTCTTTAGATTAACTTAAAATACATTTCAGAACATTTCTTGCAGGTATTTTCCTGCAATCGTTTAAAACATTTTGTTATTTTCACGGCATGCTCTTATTACATTTGATTAATTAAAGTCTTAAAATTGAATTCATTACTTTATGAGGCCCCATAGACTCCGGCGTATTCCTTGGAAATTAAGTAACTAAAGGATTTGTCGGATTATTCTTTTCTTTGTATCTTTTCATTTACTCATTTTATTTGCTTAAAAATACATTTTTGCAAAAAGGGGGGGGGGCTGAAGCCTCCACCTGGCGCTGCCTATGTTTCATCGGTCAATCTCGAACGGAGAAAGTTCTTGATAAATCATGGGAAATGTACTGCGCTTCTTTGAGCATCACTTAAAAAATTCTATTTCGTATTCCGTTTTTAGAAGCAATTTGATGAAATCATTATCACACTATCCTCATTACGACGAATGTAGTTGAAAATACTTGCATTTTCATACAAAATTTCGTTTTTTCTGTATTGCGTCACCTCTCTTTCTTTTTAGGACTGCCTTTTACCATACAACTATTTTCTTTTGAACCTATACCTTTCTTATGCTTCTCTTTGAGCTACAGTTCACAAGGTCGTTTGAGTCAAAACTTCAATTTTCACAAATGATTCAAATTTTCTCCCTTTAACCTAGCTTTCTACCAACCGCTTTAAATTTTCCGACTGTCCTCAAATTTTCCGACTGGATAAAAGATTGGGGGGGTGTCACACCCCCCCCTCCACATCGCCCAGTATTTACGTGCCTGCGGATACCTGCTACTTCGTCCCGAAGATTAACAAAGTCGTTCTCGATACTGTCAAGCCTTTTTTCACTGTATTTATTTCAGTAAAGATTTCTTTCATGAAACTTGGGTTGAGATTATGTAAAGTTTTATATATTTCTGTAAGAAGCAATTGCAGATTTTTATCATGGATAGACGTCGAGTTGTCTTTTTCAAGAAGAGATTGAAGGCTTGATTCATAGTCACCAAAGGCAAGACGCAAATACTTTTCATGATTTCTATTTATTCTCTTGTTCATCTGTCGATCACAAAACATCCAAATTAAAGGGCAGTAGCTAAATTGTGATAAAATGAAGACGTGCATAGTATGTTTTACTTTTCTATCATCCATGCAGTTGGAGATTCGGGATAAAGCATGTAGCTTTTGGCTGGCCTTTTTGCATATCGGTTGTACGTGTCCTTTGAACGACAAATTATTATCAATTATCAATACTTATTCCAAGAAGCTTTTGTTCTTTACTTGGTTTATCTATTATCGTTTTATCTATTTTCAGAGATGTGTCATTGCTGCCTTTACCAAAATTTATAAGGTGGCATTTGTCCCCATTCATATAATTATTTTGAAACCATTCTTTCAAAATAACTACGTCTTGTTCTAGTATTTTAATAGCCTGATTAATGTCTTGGTGGTTGACATATAGCGTTGTGTCATCAGCACAATTGCATATTTGGCTATTTGATATAAACATAAACATGTCATTTGTGTATTTGAACAAGAGATGTCCCAAAACTGATCCTTGTGGCACACCTACACTCGTGGTTTTCCATTCACTGAAAGAGGGGTTTATTTTGACTCTTTGTTTTCTCTGGCTAAGGTACGATAATGTGAAATTCAAGGCGCTTCTACTAAAACCATAAACATTGGTTTAGCAATCATTAGGTCATGATTCAGACAGTCAAATGCTTTTGACAGATCCATCAATAGTGCACTGGCTGTTTTTTTAGTATCTAGAACTTTTTTGCAATTTTCTATGAATTTGAGTAATGTATGTTGGGCGCTATAATTCCTTCTGAAACCACATAGCAGTGGTGATAGAAAACAATGAGCGAAGGAAGTAATTTGTGATTCCATGATTCTCTCATATATTTTTGATGCGGACGGTAAGGTAGCAATTGGTCTATAATTTTTCTTACTGAATTTACCATCTTTTTTATGCATATATCATCTAATTTGAGTTCTTTTTGAAATGTCATATTAGATAGGTCCTCCTTAAACGCTCTTTGTAAAATTTCAGAGAAAATGTCTGAATATTCTTTAAATATCCTAGCAGGTATACTTTCTATTGGTGAGGCCTTTCTGGTATTAAGTTTGTTTATCTGATCCCAAATTTCCCCACTGCTTACTTCCCTGAATTCAAAGGGCTGTGGGTCAGGGTACATTTCTCTTATTTTTATGATACTTGGGTGGTCTTTATATTTCTCAATGACTTTATCAATTGGGTCATTTATACCTTCTGTAACTGACAAGTGAGCTATATCTTGTTGAATTCCTAGACCTTGTGTTATGTTTATAAAGTAGTTGTTAAATGATTCTACAATCTTGCGGTTATCACTAATTAATTCTCCATTTTCTTCCAATATAATGGAGGGTGTTGTTATTATCTTTTCTGCAAAGACCGGTTTGATCACTCTCCAGAATTTGCGATTATCTGTAAGATTACCTAAGTCTAGGTTTCTAAAATAACTGCTTTTAGCATTACGTAATAACTTTACACATTTGTTTTTTTGCCGTTTATATGCTTTATGATTTTCCTCATTTTTGTTATTAGTATATCTATTTTTTAATTTGCTACGATGCATTTTTGCCTTACGTAATTCTTTCGTCATAAATGGCCTGTTGTTTGCACGAACATACTTTCTCTTAATGGGGGCATGTTTATTAAGAAGAGTTTTGACTAAGATATCAACACTTCCGTAGTCTCTAAAGTTTAGTATTCGATGACTCAAAATTTCAGATCTAAAGCTCGGAATATCGAATTTTTTGCAGTCTCTATATGTAAGTATTTTGGGACCTCTCTTGGTGAAATCTTTGAGTATGCTCAGTATCATTACGTGGAAGTCAGACAACCCTGTTTCAACATTAGTCGTGTTTTGAAAGTGACT